AACCAGTTGGGTTAAACTGCAGCCCAAAGGAGATTAGGGCACTTCCAAACAGAACAATTGTAAACTAGTCCCCATATAACCCCTTCCCTACTCAGCAGGCCTCAGTTTTCAGCTTCAGTCTAGATTCCTCACTGACATGGCTGCTTGAACTGGCCTCTATACAGTAGCTGTCAGAATTAGCCTTGGTGTACTTTCTAGGTCCATAGCTCTGGCACAGCCTCAGGTGTGACCCTGTTTCTGAAGACTCACTTTGTAATTTGGGGTGTCCGTGCTAAAGCAGGGGAGCTACCTCACTGCACCGCTTGGCACCTTTTCAATTTTCCTGCCAGCACTGATTTTACTGTGATAAGGGTTGAGGCTGAGGGACCAAACGCTGATGTCATCCGCTGGGATGAGCAACGCGCACACTTTTGCTCACAGCATTCAGCCTGGAGGAAGCGCTATCCCACTACAGTTCCTGCTCTTCAAGCATTGAATGGATATCCAATCTCTAATTATGTGAAAGACCTCCTGCGCTTCTAACTAAAACCCTATAAACTAATCACAAAGGTAAAGCTGCCAACATCCAGTCATATACCTAATGACAAATGAGAAATAACAAAGAAAAATAAAGTGGCGCTAATACCATATAAACCCCACCACAAATGGCATAAAATGAAATCAATATACCAATATGCACATAAATAATATAAAAAAAATGTGTAAGTGTAAATATGCGCATATATAAATATACATAAAACAATATGCAATAATAAACAATATAAATAGTGATGCACATGAGTATATCACTCACTCAATACACGTGCGACAAAGTGCCACCTACCAGGTCCAAATAGAGACCAACACATAACAGTAGAGCCCCAAATGATCCTAAACAGATCTAATAGTGATATACAAACAACAAACCAAACAAAAAGTCCAAAATTGGACTAAACCCAAAAAGTTGCGCTCCAACCTCCAAACAGAAGTGCTCCAGGCACAAAAACCACATAAATAACCACTGTGTCATCAATATACAGAGTACATCCAACCGTACATAAAATGATGTGCTCAATTGTAAACGTATAACAAATATAAAATAGTTAATATGAAAAAGGTCCCGTGAGGTGAAAAAATACCTAATTGCAATAAGCAGTACAGTCCATAAAAATTTTAATAAAAATATCCAATCTCTGCTGCTTCTGTTGCCTACCTAAAGCGACCTTGTCACCTCTGGCCACCTAAATCCCTCATTAGCACCAGCTTTCCGGGTTTGTGAATATTGGAAGTCTTGCTTCTCGTTGAGCCTAGTTGCATTACTGCTGTGTGAACACGTCTTTGCTACGACACACGGAGGACAGTGTAATTGCAGCAGATGACCTCCATCCATGCTTCTTTATCTGGAACCCCTTTTTGTTATAGGATCGTGCTTATTGGAGTTGTCCTTGGCTTTGTTTGATGAGACCGAGTCCTCTCCCATGTCCACAGGGACCACCATGTTCTCTCAGGACTTCTTAGCTGTTTGTGGTCAGTTACTGCGACGTTCTGCCCACAGAGGCTCGTGGCATACTTTGGCACCATCCTTGCAAAATGTTAATCTTGCTGTCCATAGTCTTTCAATCAAATTGGGCCCCTATCATCATCTCTCTGAGTTTTGCAGACAGGCTGGTTAATTAGGACAGGTAGCAGAGCGTGTTTTACCGTAAAGTATATGATGTAAAATGCAAAAAAAAATTAGATTTTAGTACTACTTTAGTCTGTCACACCTTGTCAGAATAGGTAACTTCCCTCAAGAGGGATCCCTGCATCTCCACCTGCCCCATTTCATAGAGAGGTGGAAGCAGTTATTTAGTTATTACAGGTACTTGTGTAGCGAAGGTCCCTAACTCACATTCATACATACACATACTAGGGCCAATTTTTACAGGAGCCAATTAACCTACCAGCTAGGGATGCACTGAAATTTCGGTGGCCGAAACGTTTCGGCCAAAAACACCTTTTTCAGCCATCAGCCGCCATGAAAAAAAAAGCAACGATACAGGTGCTAAAAAAACCCTGCCCCTCGCCGCTGCCTGCCTCTCTGAAGTTCTCAGCCTTACCTGAGAAACCATCGAACGATCCCGATGCTGGGTATAGAGATGAGTGAAGGAAAGATGGCCTCCACTCATCTCTATGCCCTTGGAGGACTGGAGCAATGTCATTTTTAAAAATGTTTTTTTTTTTTTTTTTTTTTTTTGCTTAAAGCACTAGATCAATGCTTTTTTTTGATCCAATGCTTTACATTGCAGAGGAGAGATGACCCCATATCTCTCCATAAAGAGGACCTGTCACTAACTATCACAAGGGATACATGCATTTCTTGTGATAAAAATAAACGATTGCAAATTTTTTTAAAGGGACAGTGCAAAAAAAAAAAAAAAAAAAAAGTTTAAATCGCCATGCCCACATATGTAAATGGTGTTCAAACCACACACGTGAGGAATCGCCACGAGCGTCGGAGCAAGAACAATAATTCTCACACTAGACCTCCTCTGTAACTTTACACTGCTAACCTGTAGAAATTTTTAAAGCGTCACTCATGACATGTTGGGTATCTATTTACTCGCCGTAACATCCTTTTTCATATTTTTCCAAACAATTGGGGTTTATATTGTGTTTTGTTTTTTTTTTTAATCCAAGTTTATTTTTTCCAAAAAATATATATTCATTTTTAAAAACTGCACCTTTCTGTTTTCGGCCAAGTGCATTTTGAATTTTCGGTTTCGGCACCAGAATTTAATTTCGGTGCACAACTACTACCAGCATGTCTTTCGAGTGTGAGAGGGAACCAGAGTATCCAGAGAAAACCCAGGCAGGCACAGGGAGAACATGCAAACTCCAGGCAGGTGGTGTTGTGGTTGGGATTCGAACCAACAACCTTAGTACTGCTAAGCAGATGTGCTAACCATTTAGCCATTGTGCTACCCATTTTTCTGGAACTTTGTGCTTTACTTGTGATTGTTTGCTACAAGCATCTAAATTTTGTGTATCATATAGGGCTGATGTCCGTACAAATGCAAAGATCACTTGGCTGGCTTTGTCGGGATGATATTGCTGCACCCAAGGAGTATTTGATTCGATTAATCTTTTAGGATAGGGTTTCTCCAGTCTTTCTCTTGGCACTGTGACTAATACCACAGATAACCAGAGTGTGCACCTGCCTCACTGCATGAGGTATGCAGAAGTGTTGAAGATGTCCCACCCTTGTCCATCATCTACTTCGGCAGTAAGTACTCTTGGGCCTTCAGAACTCCCACTTGAAACCAGGGGTCAGTTAACCCCTCTGAAAAGTCTGCTGCATGGATGTGCGGCCTCACTTCTGTAAGTGGAGGACTGTTTGAACATCTGGACCAGTCTTTGGGTAGTTGTCTTCTCAGTACTCATTTTAGTCCACTGGCCCCTTGATATCTTTTTTTTGTGCTATTACACAAAGCAGTGCAACTTTCCAGGTCTCATGGGTTACCTGCACCCTGGGACTCTTTTGTCTCTGTCCATCTGGAATTTCTGCTGGTAAGTGAAAATGTTAACATAGGTACAGTTAAAGCAGAACTCCTGGTAAAAAAAAAAAAAGGATTAAAAAAAAATAAAAAGCTCAGGAAATGATGCCTTCAATTTTGGAGCTGACCCATGCAGTAAATTCTTTCCCGCCCCTAGATGTTGCCATTTTGCCAGGTTTGAATGATGGTCAGCATCATTTAACCCACTTCCTTTGGACCTGGACTTTCATGGTTCCTCATGGGGGGATGTCATGGGGGGACACCATACTTCCAGCTGGTGCTCAGCCTATTGGCTTCTTTTGTTACATATACTGTCAAATCCAAGGCAGTATTGTACAATGATGTTGACGTGTACAGCTAACCTAGGGATTGCAATCTTCTAGAAACTGCCTCTACCCTCAACCCTACTTTTCCCCCATAATTTTGGGGTACATGACAAGTCCAGTTAAGGAGAGTGAATCGGCTCGGTCATGTGATCAGCTGTGTCCAATCACAGCTGATCGCATGTAAATAGGGAAATGCAGGTTATCGCCATTTCTCTCCTCACGAGCCATCATGCTGACCGCTCGAGAGGAGAGGAGAGATGGTAATCGGCATTCCTCAGAGGGCACATGTACACTGATCATCAGGGCACTGATAATCAATGTGCCCTGATGATCAGTGTAGTCCCAGCAGTGCCAGCTGTCAGTGCCTCATCAATGCCACCTGCCAGTGCCCATCAGTGCCTCATCAATGCCACATGTTAGTGCCTACCAGTGCACATCAATGCCACATATCAGTGCCATCTGAGCTGCCTTTCAGTGCCACTTATCAGTGCTGCCTATCAGTGCCAGTCAGTGCTGCCTACCAGTGCCAGTCAGTGCCGCCTATCAGTGCCATATATGAGTGCTGCCTTTAAGTGCCCATCAGTGATGCCTGTCAATGCCCATCAGTGCTACCTACTAGTGCCTCCTCATCAGTACCACCTATCAATGCCTATCACTGCAGCCTCATTAGCGCACATCAGTGAAGGAGAAAAATCACTTATTTACAAAATTTTATAACAAAAACTAAGAAAAAACGTTTTTTTTTTTTTTTTTTTTTTCAAAATTTTCAGTTTTTGGTTTGTTTAGCAAAAAATAAACCCAGAGGTGATTAAATACCACCAAAAGAAAGCTCTGTCTCAAAAAAAATGCTAAAAATTTCATATGGGTACAGTGTTGCATGACCGCGCAATTGTCATTCAAAATGCGACAGCGCTGAAAGCTGGAAATTGGCCTGGGCAGGAAGGGGGTATAAGTGCCCTGTAGGCAAGTGGTTAAAGGGTATGTCCACTTTTGCAAATAAGAAAACACCTACTTTTTATTTGTTACTTGTATTGTTACATTAAAGGACTGAGCAGAGGTTTTCTGTGCTACAGATTTTCTATTCAACATTTTTAAAAACAGTATTCAGTGGTGCATGGTGCTGTTTAACTTTTTTTCTTCCTCCTTCTGTTTCTTGCAGAGTAAAATGTGTTTCGGTGTAGCGCTCAGTGCTGTGATAATGAAACTGCTTCTATGCAGACTGTACACAACTGTATAGAACGCTGCCATTTGCCACTTGCTCAGGCCCAAAGTCTGGTCACCAATGATCTGGAGAAGTTTCAGGTGAGTGCAGCAAATTACAGACTTTTTATCAACTATTTGTCCCTAGATCTGTTTAAAATGATTGCAGTGCTTCTGTTATTCCACCGGATGGCAGCAAATCACTGTTAAGTGAGAACTGCAACATACAGTAGAGTATGCGTTGGCATTATCACTGCAATGATTTGCAATGATTGTTCATGTAATTATTTGGGTAAATGGAGGAAATTGATGTAGATCAAAGCAACCAACAGTCACTTTCCAGTGTATCCTAGATAATTGTGAAAATAGGGAAGAGTCTTGTATATTCAGGAACATTTTATTTATTGATAAAAGTTTGAACCTTCACATATACCTAGAACACTTGGCAGACTTAGGCTGGCCATACACTATACAATTTTCTGTCCAATTTCCTTTAGATTTACCTTCAACTATGTAGTGCAAGGGCCTGCCTAATTGGATACAATTGAAAGTGTTGTTTAAGTTTGACCTCGTATTATATGGTTTTTGGTAAATCTAAAGCAAAAATCTCAAGAAAATTATATAATGTATGGTCAGCCTTTGAAAAAAAAATCTGCCCTGCTGTCCTTGCCAAACTTAAAGCTGAATTCCTGGTATGGATTCTATTGCATAGTTACATTGGTTAAGCTTGGACCAATGTACGTATGCATATGCCATAACTGTGGGACTGCTTTGGAAGTGGTGAGACTGTAGTAGTTGCTGCTTTCTTTTGGGTCCCGTGTTGAACAGCTGTTCTGCCTCAAAGTAACCACAAGGGGTTGCTCACTCGGCACAGGCATCATTCACAGACATGCCTGGTGTTTCCAGATTGGACAAAGTGGTTGGTGATATCACAGTCTCCACCTCATCCAATCACAGAATGCTTTGCACTCATTGAGACAAATGCAAGGCATTTTGTGAATGGCATGCGTGCTGAATAAGTGACTCCCTGTGGTTACTATGCAGCAGGACAGCCATTTTTTGCACAGGCTCTGGAAGACAGCTGTAGTAGCAGTACTAATTACTACAGTGATTCTCCACTTCCACAGTGGCCCCATAGGTATGGCATATGCATGCTTACATTGGTTCAAGCTTGACCAAGGTAACTACAACAAAATCCACATGTGGAATTCAGCTTTAAAACTAATCTGTGATTTTCCAATGCAGAACAAAGGAATCGGTTTACTTTGATGCCACCCTCCCCAGCATCATATTCTTATCTTGCTATTGCTGCCCTCCTGCTCTGTTCAGCTAGCATGAATAAAGGAAAGACCGAGTAGTAGCTGACACAGGGCTGTGGACTGACCCCTGAGACAGCTCTGATTTCCACTGCACTGTTTCATGGAGTTAGCCACACGCTCCTTCATTCCCAGATGTACAAGATGTTTCGTTTGACTCCCAGTGACGTACAGAGTGGCAGGGGAGCAAAGGAGAGGTAAATATTTGCTGGGGAGGGGTGGGGGATTAAAGCAAACCCTAAGTGGATTTGCTTTAAAACTGGTTGGTATGATGCAACTTGTTCTTTGGTATTTTTCTGAATTATTGTTTTTATATAATGCTTGTGTACAGTCTTCTTTTTTTTTTTTTTAATTTAAAATTTAAAAACACATTTAAAGTCCAGTTGAACCCTCAGTTTAAATCAGCTAAATACATTCCAGGTGCATCACAACAAAATGCCTTTAAGGTACATACACACTTTCAATTATACCCAACTTGATTGGATTAGAGAGCCCCAGCAGGGGTTCCCTGGCAATTAGCTGTGGGAGGCAGACCCACTGAAAGCAATTGTAGGCTGCTGGCTCCCACAGCTTATCATGACCTCTCACGTGATCACTCAAGCAGCGATAACCTGCGAGTCATTGGAAATGGACACAGACAGGCTCTGAGCTCTTGAGCCAGGGGATGTGTTGGTCCTCTGTGCTTCTACACAGAGAGTAAGGGTCCCACTTTGCAGCATGCTGGCAGGAGATAGGATTTTTTGCTCAGTCTGTGGCTGATCTAAAAAGTCAGTGATCTGTAAGACATTGAACACATTTTGTGTTCATGAACCAAAAAAATCAAAACTTTCTAAAATGTTGGATTCTGAAGAGTCTTCAGTGCTGTGCAGGTCATTGTATGGGTGGTAGGAGAGGTGATGTAGAGGGAAGAAAATGTCCATATGAGCTGCACATCTCTGCAAGCCCCAGGTAAGAAAGTGTAACAGTCTCAGCCTGGGCTGCAGCCAGGCCATGCCTCCAGTGTGTTTCAATCTGCCCTTGGCATTCCCCATAATTAAGCTCCAAGGCAAAATGAAACGTGTTGAAGCATGGCCTTGCTGGAGCCCTGACTTACCTAGGTTTTGCAGAGATGTGCGGCTCATATGGACATGTTTACCTGTGCATTGCTGTATGGAGAATGGACGAACTCCGTCCTAGCCTGCATTCACAGTTGTTGGCTTTTTTGATTGGGATCGTTACAGCCTGAGCAGCATCAACAATCTTGTTTGGGGTCAGGAGTAGGTGGTTGGAGAGGTATTTACTGTCATTTTTGAAGCGTAAAATTGTGTTTTTGTTTTTTTTTATGACAGTCACTTTAACTTTTTGCCTTTAGTGCAGGGTATTTTGTTTTAAAGTGTTTTCTGACTCCCAAATGGGATTGAATGGTGAACAGCCTCTACATGTATTTGAAGCCCCTGGCTTACCTGAAGCACTTGTTTAAGTCATACAATGATGCTGTATATTATGCGACAGTAATAATCTCATTTCTCATTAGGACCGCCTTGGTCGGTGCACCATGCACTGCAATGACAAAGCTAAGGACTCCTTTGATTCTGGCAATAAAGAAGTAAAAGTGAGGGCTCAGTTGGAGACCTGTGTGATGAAGTGCGCAGAGGAACACATGAACCTTATCCCCAGTATGACCAAGAAACTGAAGGAGGCTTTAATTGAGGTTGACAAGAAAACATCCTAATATCTGGAAATGTTTGTTCCAGCCATCCTTCCTGCTGGAATGGGCAGTGGCAACAAAGTCCTGAGACAATTAGATGGGGACTAAAAACTTCCTTCATCTGACAGGAAACAGGATGCTGTGAAGCCAGAAAACAACAGCATCATCCAAGTCCAGCTCAGGGACCAAGCTAACAGCCAGTCATTTATGAATTTTTTACCTCCTCAAAGTTCATATACGTAACCCTGGGTGTGCTGACATACTTGATGTAAAATTAAACATTGAATGGGTTTTTTTTATTTTTAGAAACTATGAAAGCTCAAAGTAATGACAGCAATTACCCCAGAAAAGCTCTAATACCAATGGCATGATAATGTCTTTGTAAAAAAAGCAAAAGAAATTCATACTTTGGTTGATGGGTAGATTGTGTGATGTAATGTGAAATAATAACGTGCAATGGAAGAAATACATTCTTTGTCCTTTTAAGAGTCTGCAGTAGATTTGTAGCAAGTATTCCTCTGATTTTAGGGCAAACATTCCTTACCTTCTCACTCTACGTTTTGTTTTGTTCAGTGTTTCAAATTGAAATGTGTTCATTGTGGAAAAAATTAGTTATGTCCTTCCACATCCTCAGCATCTTTTGATGTCTTGCACATAGATAGTAATGGCCATTTCTAGTGGTTGGTCAGCACATGTCCCTGGCCATTCTTTATAGTTAGAGCTGGAGTGTGCCCAGAATATCAAAGAATGCTGGAAGCACAGGATGTAAACACAACTGTGCTGGCTCTAACCAAAGCGGTGTCCTCCTTCAATATCCATGATAAGTTTCTGAAATGTGAACATTTTCGATGCATAAGCTTTTTTAAAAATATTTTTGGTATTAATATATATGTATTGGGGAAAGAAGATAGATAGATAAATAAAAAATAAATATATTATTTTTATATATATATATATATATATATATATATATATATATAAATTATATTTATTTTTAATTATACATACCCCTAGACCAGTACACAGAGCTTAGTTCTGTGTGTTCTATCTGTAGCTCCACCCTAGGCAAATGCCGAAATTATGGGGAAGGTACAGCCAGGACTGCAGCTACAGTCTTCTCTCTATTCTGCAAACCTCCTTGCTGTGCAGCCTTGTAACTCCTCTGCTCCCTTTGTACTAAAAAGTCCCATAGCCACCAGTTTTGAGGGAGATTACTACAGTAATAGCTGGCAGCTTGTGTTGTGATTGAGCACATCTGGAGTGGAGCATAGTCTTTCACAAAAACACAAGCCACCAGCATCACACATCAGCAGTAACTACACTAGTCTTTCTCTGGCTAATGTAGCTGTATGCTTGTGGTTTTGTGGGTGACCATAAAGTCGGATAGTGGTGTGTGTATGTAGGTGGGTGGTGGCTGTCTTGGAAAATATTGTGGGTTTTAAAAGGGCCATGAATGCGGGTACACACGTAACATGCTTCTGCCTCTCTACGATTAAGCCCTGAAAGAGGTGAAACCTGTCTGCGGAGTTCTCTACAGATGGATAACAGGCGCTGAAGTCATCTTTTACCCATCGCTTTACATTTACGTAACAGGTAGTCGGTGTCTGTGCGCAGATGACCGCCATATTTTTTTTTAAAGTCTATTGGAGCCTCACAAGCTGATTCTGTTAGTCTTGCACCAATCTTTCCACACGCTGATCCGACTGACACAGATTTGAAGGGGCATTTGAGCAGTATTATTTTCATTGTTTTACGCTTTTGAATAAACATACTAGGTACAACATTTCTTGGTATATAACATAATCTTAAAGAGAAATAACACAGTACTCTCATGAACAAGACCTGAATTTTATCCAAATAAGATGAATGGTAAGTCTGTTTTCTGCAGGTTTACTACATCAGAGTGTAAAGCAAAGATATTTTTGTTATGTTTTGGCTAGAGGAGGGAATGATTCAAGGATTTGTTGTTTTTAGGGAGATTTCCTTTCACTTCCTTTTGCAGAGACTCATCAGAAAGTGAAGGGAAATCCCTTAGCCAGTTTCTGTCAGAACAAGTGTCCCCATTAGAAGACTTCCTCTTATGTCCAGTTCCAGTGCCAACTGTAAACGTTGCCAATTTTGTTGCTCTCTGCTCAGTGTTCACCAGCACAAAGGGGAAAATCTTCCCAGGCATTGGCATAGGCAGCTTTAATAACCTGTGAGGTTTACTTTGTTGTTTTTGTGGTTGAAATTGCCAGATCATGCGTGTGTGTGTCCAGCATTAGGTACTTGGTTTGCTTTAAAGGGAACCTGTTTTCCTGCAAGCAGCAGATGTTTTTTTTTTTAATGTGGGCCCCTGCACCAGTTATTCTAACTTTCCCTTCCATCTTCACACCTATTTGGGCGAACAGTGTGGCCAGAAAAGGGCTAAGTATTAGGTACAGAGAGGCTGGTATTAGTTAACTTTTTGTTTTACAGGTTTGCTTTAAATTACAGCTGAGTTCCAGCCGTTTTTGTGTTTATTAAATGTCAGCAGCTACAAAAACTGTAGCTGTTGACTTTTAATAAACACACTTTTCTGTCTCGGAGTCCAGCAACGTTCTCACCTGCACTGTCCCTTCTCTCCTCCAGTGTGCCAGCATCTCAACTGTGGGCACCAGGCTGTGACAGCTTGCGGCTTCACAGCCCGGTGCCCACTGTGCAAACGCAAGTCGCACTGTGCCTCCTAATTGGTCTGACAGTCTTCTGGGACCTGTGAAATTTCCCAGAAGACGTGAGTAGGGGGCCGAACTTCTGTCTCACTTCACCATGGCGACCTGAGCCAGAAGTGGGAGCAGGTACTTGTCAAAACCAGTGCTTGCTGCTCCCCCCGCAAAAGGTGCCAAATATGGGAGGGGGGAGGCAAATAAGCGGAGCTTCCGCTTTTGAGTGGAACTCGCTTTAAATGTGTTAAAGCGTTGCTGAACACTCCTATCTTTTACAGCCAAGGAAGCTGCTATCTTATCCTCTGTTTGATTCGCAGTTGCATGGTTGCTGCACGTCTGATCAGTTATAACACCAGCCACTTTTATGGCTTGACAATTCGCTTGAGAGCACAAGCAATTGTGACCGTTCTCATTCACAGCATGCCTTGAATGTAACTATTTTGGGAAACCGTTCAATCAGTGAGTTTGGCTTGGCTTTAAATGTGATTATAAGTAGAAGATACAATATATTTATATGTAATTTCCAGAGTAAAGCTGGCCATACCCATATAAATTTCTTTCATGTAGTCTGCAGACAGATTCCTCATCCATGCTAAGAGCGCAGATGGGTTTTCAACCAGACTCCTTCAAGCAGAGTTCCACTTGAAAAAAAAAAAAAAAGTCAGCAGCTACAAAAACTGTAGCTGCTGACTTTTAAAATACAGCCACTTACCTATTCCTCAGTCCAGCTGGTTTCACTGCCCGTCTTCTCTCCCTGGCATCTTTAGTGTGGGCACCTGGCTGTGACAGCTTGCAGCTTCAAAGCTGGGTACCCACTGCGCATGCGCTAGAAGCACTGCGCTTTGTGAATGGCCCGTAGTCTCCTAGATTGTAAGCTCGTAAGAGTAGGGCCCTCCCACCCCTCGTACATTGTTTGTTGTTGTTGTACTGTGCCATGTATTGTCCCCCCTATTGTACAGCGCTGAGCAAACCCTTTGGCGCTATATAAACTCGTAGTAATAATAATAGTAGTCTTCTGGGACCTGTCACGTGTCCCAGAAGACTACAGGGAGGGAGGGGGGAGGACAACTTCCTCTTCTGATCACCTTAGGCAATTGCAGCAGAAGTGGGAGCAGGTACCTGTCAAATTATGGTACCCACTCCCCAAAGGTGCCAATCCTTAATGGGGAGCGGGGGACAAAGGCTTAAAGCGGAATTTCTCCTTTTGGGTGGAGCTCCACTTTCAAAAAAGTTTTCAATTGACTTTTATTGATTCAGGTTTTCCCAACAGCACCACCCACAGAGTGAAATTGAATTCATGTGTAGCTAGCCTAAGATAAGCACAGTTGTAATGGTTATTACTTCACGGTAGCAGCATCTAGCTTTCGGCTGTACACTCCTTATCTCTGCCATCTGCGTATTCAAGCATATCACAGTGGTTTCTTGTCTTCCGGATGCCGCCCTTGAGTGGGCTCGTCTAAGATCCTGAAACTCTCAGTGACTCTTCTGTTGCCCACGTGGATTCTGGTTCCTAACATGCTGAGATATGAAACGATTGCATTCCTCTGAGCTACTGTCACCCAGTGGGTGAGTCATAAGGATCTAATTCCCTCACTGTACACAGCAGTTAACCTGCTATTTCCCTGCAGCAGAGGAACATGTATGCTGTATTCTTGGAGGAAGCACAGCTTCATTGTTTTATTTGCTAAATGATGTGTAACTATGTACATACAATGGTGTAGAAAGGGCCGCAGTGTAACTGAGATCAAATTAAAGCACTGAACTGAAGGATCTTTCTCTGAAAAGGTTATATATTCAACACAGGACTATTGTGTGTGGAATAGACCATATCTGAAGGCCTTTTCATCTGTTCTCTATTTCCCAATCACAACTAATGGCTTCTACATTCTGTGACTGCTGCAGCTTCATTCATGTCTCCCCTGAGTGTGTAAATGCAATTAAAAGGACTACATTCATTCTAAAGGTGTCCATGCTTTATTTTTATTTTTCGTTCACCCAGCTGGTGGAATGGAGAAAAAAAAAAAAGGACTTGATTACCCTATCCACACATTCAAAGTGGATGGGCGAATCCTCACTGCTGCACTATTGTATTCTGACAGCTGGGAAACCTCCCTGCTGGCTGTAGCTTGTGGTGTGCTGACTGGAAATTTTCCAACAGGGCGATTGTTCAGAGGTTGATCGGTAGATCAACATCTGTACAACCACCCTGTCCCTACATGAACTGAAATTTGATCGGTTCCTGCTGAACCAGCCAAATTTTTTTTTTTTTATATCTGTTCACTGTTCTCTCATGGTTTAATCCTGTGTTGAGCCCTGATGAAGGGGGAGTGGTGTTGCTCT